TCGGCATTCTCAGATTCCAACAGGGTGTGCCCAAAATCTGACAGGGTTGTTTGTCTCTTTCTCAGCTTGTACCCTTCCATTGAATTAATGGCTGGAACAATCTGTTCATCATCCTGTTACATCCTGATATGGGGTGATACCAGGGGTCATATAGCCTATTCCTACATTACTTGAAGCTCCTTGATGGCTAATGTCAAAATCGTAATTGCACAATGTGCAAAATGCTAGACTTCATGTTAAATATTTTTCATAGGTTAGTACTCGGAGTCTGCACTCAGTTTGTGATATTCCTGTTATACAGTATTTTAGAGTAAACAGCAGGAATGCAACAATACAGTTAGCCCAATGTTCAATAAATACCTCAGTTTTTTAAACACAGTTTTCAGTTTGGTTCTGATGGTTTGGCACAACAGAGTTCTTTTTAGCGATTTTAAATGCTATTTAAAAAAAACAAACTCCAGTATACTTCAAGTAAAACTCCAGTACATTGTTGTACACTGTAGAAAAAACATGAATTATCACATGTCTACCTTAAATTTATTTTGAGAGAAGTATTATTTTTATAGATTGGCCATTATTTAGTTCTATGAACACATGTAATGTCCGTTTCATTCATACTGGATACTAGAGGGCGCCCCTGTGCAGAAAGTCCACATATGCATCACCGAAGAAATAGAGCTCACGACTCCTGGAAATACCATACACGTGTTTCCTCATCTCAGCGCACGACTCACGGACACACAAACAGAGTTTGGAGAGAAATAAAAAAAACACGGAAAACGTTGAACTCCTCATCTTTTTCTGTTGCTTGTTTACTGCGCGTGGACAGGTCACCGGGTTTTTGCGTAGTTTAGAGTGACAAATCATACCAGTGTACTTTAAGGTCAAAATGCGTACCCGCTACGCAAAATGCGTACATGTCACTAAAATCACAAGATTGGGCTCAGTAAGATTTTTTTATTGTTTTTGAAACATGTCTGTTATGCTCACCAAGACTGCAGTTATTTGATTACAAATACAGTAAAAATATTAATAATGTGAAAAAAAAGCTATTTTAATATATTTTACTTTTCATATATTTTAATAGATTTTTTGTCAAATATTCTTGCAATGCAAAGCTGAATTTTCAGCATCATTACTCCAGTCTTCAGTGTCACATGATCGTTCAGAAATCATTCTAATATGCTGATTTGCTCAAGAAGGATTTCATATTATTATCAATGTTGAAAACAACTGAAGAAGAAAAAATCATACTGACTCCAAACTTTTGAGCAGCAGAGCAGTATACATTTGCACATTGTGTATGAGGTGTCACCTGGTATCCCTGCAGGAAGGGGTCCAGAACTGAAGACAGGAAAGCGAGGGTGCTGTGACCGCTCGCTGACATCACAATCTCATGCTCCGATACCTGCAACACTCCACGCTTCATGAGCAAATAACACGCTTCTTCAAAGTCCTACAAAAACACACACGATAACATGTCATGAAAAGACATTTGACATTACAATCTAGAGCTGAGATTCTTTTAAGGACTTGTGATTTCATTCGGTTTCAACTGAAACAGTAAAAGTTTGGCTTTCAAATGATTCTCAAATATTCAGTTACAAATCGCGGTGACAAGATTTTTGTGAATGTGGTCTAACCTGAACCGAGTCCCCAGGGCAAAGAATAAATTCATTGGAGAACATGTTTCTCAGAAAGTTGAAACAGTTGTAGACGTCGTCTAGAACACAAATGGCTTTGTGATTGGTAAAATCTACTAATCCAGAGAAAAACTAGTAACATTTATAAAAAGTCTCGGTAACGTATGTAACCCTCATTTCCTGAAGGAGGGAACGGAGACGTTACGTCAGTAGTGACTGACGAATTGGGATCTTCGCTAGAGAGACCAATCACCTTTGAGTGTTAACAAAACAAGCCAATAAGTGTTGGCGTGCGATCTTTGCGTCGCGCACCCCACCCCGCGGGTATATAAGGAGAGTGCGTGCAGACACACATTCAGTTTTTCGCTGAGGAGCCGAGACACTGTGCCTCGGCCGTACAGCGGTGGTACAGCAACTGTGGCGACGGAACATAACGTCTCCGTTCCCTCCTTCAGGGAACGAGGGTTACATACATAACCGAGACGTTCCCTTTCAGTCAGTCACGTTCAACGTTACGTCAGTAGTGACTGACGAATTGGGATACGTATGGAAAACGCTACTCTTGCTGACCCCCTCCAGTGCCCTGCGAAAGCCAGCAAGTCCCCCCACACCAGTTGGGGCGGAAGATAGGACAGGGCTTAGGCAGAGGTGTCCGCCACAGCTGTTCCGTACAGTGGGACATTGGATAACACTGGGAAAGCGTACCCAAGTAGGGGAACGCTACGGAAGCCACATCCTGCGTATAGAAGGTATCATGTGGAATTACACATATGGACTGGCCATAGGGAAGTGCAACATATGGAAGTCCCTGCGGTAGACTCAGCCTGCCCGGGGTGAGATACTATGCAGCAGAGATGGCAGAAAATGCCAGGGAAAGACACGGGCTTACCGTGAGGGGAGCCGTACCGTGGAAGAATACACATGTGGGATCACCCGAAGGGGGAATCACTACACACGGGCACCTAGCCCAGCACAAGGGCTGACCTTGGGCATACACACAAGTGCTGGACCTGGCGTCTGGCGCTCCGCCACGCCTGACCGCCTAGGGTGCGGGAGGAACTTAAACAGGGTTCACCAAAAGGAAAACAGAACTGAGAAGCACTTAAGCGCACGTATCCGGTCCGTAGAGGGGAATGGCGCAGCAAGCGTGATGGACACAGAGCGGGTCCAGTGTTACTGACCATCTGAGGTAAGTACACGAGAGGACACGGGCTCTACACAGAGATCATAGAATCTCGCTAACGTGTTAGGTGTTGCCCAGCCGGCAGCTCTACAGATGTCTGCTATCGAGGCGCCTCGCGCCAATGCCCAAGAAGATGCCACTCCTCTCGTGGAGTGTGCTCTCACTCCGAGGGGGCACGGTAAACTTTGGGCCTGGTATGCTAAGACTACAGCCTCCACTATCCAGTGGGCAAGCCTTTGTTTGGAAACAGCCTTTCCCTTCTGCTGTCCTCCAAAGCAGACAAAGAGCTGGTCTGAGGTCCTGAATCTCTGCGTACGGTCCACGTAAATGTGCAAAGCGCGAATGGGACAGAGCAGAGCAATGGCTGGGTCTGCCTCCTCCCGGGGCAGCGCTTGCAAGTTCACCACCTGATCCCTGAAAGGCGTGGTGGGAACTTTGGGCACATATCCAGGCCGGGGTCTCAGGACAACGTGAGAGTCGGCCGGCCCGAATTCAAGGCACGAATCATCGACCGAAAATGCCTGCAGGTCCCCGACCCTCTTAACTGAAGCCAATGCAGTGAGGAGCACTGTCTTTACCGACAGAAACTTAAGCTCTACTGACTGCAGAGGTTTGAAGGTCTCCTCCTTCAAGGTCGTCATGACCGAGGGGAGATCCCAAGAGGGTACCAGGTGGGGGATTCAGCCTCCTCGCACCCCTTAGGAACCTGATGATCAAGTCGTGCTTCCCAACAGACTTGCCGCCTACTGCATCGTGATGTGCGGCGATAGCGACAACATACACTTTGAGGGTGGAGGGAGACAGCCTTCACTCCAGCCCTTCTTGCAGAAAGGAGAGCACGACCGCGATCGGGCATCTACAGGGGTCTTCCCGCCGGGAAGAACTATCGATGAACAGGTTCCACTTCAGCGCGTAGGCGTGCCTCGTAGAGGGCACTCTAGCTGAAGTGATGGTGTTAACTACCGCTGGGGGCAGATCACCTAGAACCTCCGCGTCCCGTCCAGAGACCACACGTGGAGATTACACAGGTCCGGGCGTGGGTACCAGAGGGTGCCCCCTCTCTGAGAAAGGAGATCCTTCCTCAGAGGAATATGCCAAGGAGGGGCTGTCGCGAGGAGCATCAGTTTTGGGAACCAAGTCCGACTGGGCCAGTATGGCGCTACTAAAAGGACCTGCTCCTCGTCCTCCCTGACCTTGCACAGTGTCTGTGCGAGAAGGCTCACTGGGGGAAACGCATACTTGCGTAGGCCCCGAGGCCAGCTGTGTGCCAGCGCGTCCGTGCTGAGGGTCCCCTCGGACAGGGAGTAAAACAGCTGGCAGTGGGACGTGTCCGGAGAGGCAAACAGGTCTACCTGCTCCAAATCAGCTGGACTGTCTCGGGGTGGAGTCGCCATTCTCCCGGAAGGGCGGGCTGACGTGAGAGCTTGTCAGCTGCACGATTGAGCTCGCCTGGGATGTGAACGGCGCGAAGCGACCTCAAATGCTTCTGACTCCAAAGGAGGAGATGGCAGGCGAGTTGCGACATGCAACGGGAGCGTAGACCGCCCTGGTGGTTGGATATGCCACTGCAGTCGAGGCACTGTCCAGGCACCCGATGCTGCATGCCCGTTGTACATGGCCCCCCAGCCTATGGCAGAGGCATCTGTTGAGACAACAACATGCCTGGACACTTGCACTAGGGGAACTCCTGCCCGAAGAAAGGCAAGGTCCGACCACGGGCTGAAGGTCTGGCGGTAAGACGGGGTGACTGGGACCCAGTAAGTACCGCATTGCCATGCCCATCTTGGGACTCGGTCATGAAGCCAGTGCTGAAGCGGTCTCATATTTAGCAATCCGAGCGGCGTGACCGCAGCAGCGGATGCCATATGCCCCAGGAGCCTCTGAAACTGTTTCAGTGGAACCACCCTCCTGCGCTGGAAGGACTCCAGGCAGCTCAACATTGACTGAGCGCGCTCTACTGAGAGGCGCGCTGTCAGATTGACCGAGTCCAACTCCATACCGAGAAAAGAGATCCTCTGCACGGGGGAGAGTTTGCTCTTTTCCCAGTTGACCTGAAGCCCCAACCGGCTGAGGTGGCTGAGTACCACGTCCCTGTGTTCGCACAACTGCGCTCGAAACTGGGCCAGTATGAGCCAGTCGTTGAGGTAGTTGAGAATGCGAATGCCTCTTTGCCTCAATGGAACGAGGGTTGCCTCCATGACCTTGGTGAAGACACGAGGCGACAGGGATAGCCCGAAGGGGAGGACCTTGTACTGATATGCTCGCCCTTCAAATGCGAAGCGGAGAAACGGCCTGTGTCCAGGGAGGATCGAAACATGAAAGTACGCGTCCTTCAGGTCGATCGCTGCAAACCAATCGAGCGGACAAACACATCGAAAGATACGTTTCTGCATCAACATCCTGAACGGGAGCCTGTGAAGGGCCCGGTTCAGAACGCGCAGATCCAGGATTGGTCGTAACCCACCGCCTTTCTTGGGTACAATGAAGTTGGGGCTGTAAAACCTCGACTTCATATCGGCTGGAGGGACCGGCTCTATCTCGTCCTTCGCCAGTAGGACTGCGATTTCCGCTCGCAAGACGGGAGTATCCTTGCTCGGCACAGAGGTGAACCGAATGCCCCTGAACATGGGAGGACGCCGGGCGAACTTAATCGCATAGCCGAGTCTGATGGTTCTCGTGAGCCAGCGAGACGGTCTGAGGAGCGCCCGCAGTGGCGCAGCGAGGTGGAGCACAGGGACCCGACCCGGAAGGCACAGCGTCCCGGAGTAGGGTCTGAGTGTGAGGTGCAACACTTACCTGGCTCCACGGTTGGGCAGGGGGTGCGTGAGAAGGCATATCATCCTCGAACCGGGCCCTGCTGCCCGCTGGCGAAAGGAGAGGGGGACGGGAGTGTCGAGGCCGTGTCTCACACACTGCCAACCTCGCCCTCTTCAGACCCGGAGAAATAGGAAACTGCTCTTTTATTGGAAACTGCTCTTTTATTGAATGTTTGGGTACCACTGGCTTGGGAGCCAGTGGCGGAACAAAACAAAAAGGAAACAAAGATTCTCCACCCGGTCCTCCTCCGGGGGAAGGAGTGGTGCGATCACCACCTCCTGAAGAGCAGGATCCAGAGTCTCCGGGTCGCCCATCTCAGGGACGCCGCTTGCCCTGGCGCTTTATGGGCCTGGCAGGGGCAGAGACAGGCTGCGCCGCTTTCCTGCTGCCAGCTCGTGGAGGCTGCTGTTGAGGCCGAGCTGGAGCGTAGGTGGAGGCAGTAGGAGGGCACCCTCGGCGACGAGCGGGCGGAGGCTTTACGGGCCTGGCAGGGCCAGAGACAGGCTGCGCCGCTTTCCTGCTGCCAGCTCCATGCTGCGGCCGGTGTGAAGGCTGCTGTTGAGGCCGAGCTGGAGCGGAGGTGGAGGCAGTAGGAGGGCGCCCTCGGCGACGAGCGGGCGGAGGGACTGCAGCCGGCGGCGGGGTGATGACAGCAGCGGGCCGCCGGGGCAGGATGTGTCTGATCCCCTCCGTCTGCTTCTGTGCGGCGGAAAACTGCTTGGCGAAGCTCTCCACCGCATCGCCGAAGAGGCCAGCCTGGGAGATTGGGGAGTCCAGGAAACGGTGTTTGTCGGCCTCCCTCATATCTGCCAGGTTCAGCCATAGATGTCGTTCCTGGACCACCAGGGTGGACATCGTCTGACCGAGGGACCGCGCTGTGACTTTCGTCGCCCGGAGGGCGAGGTCCGTCGCTGTACGCAGTTCCTGCATTACCCCAGGGTCAGAACTGCCCTAGTGCAGCTGTTTCAACGCCTTGGCCTGGTAGACCTGCAAGAGGGCCATGGCGTGCAGGGCGGAGGCGGCCTGTCCAGCAGCTCTGTATGCCTTGGCCGTTAGAGCGGACGAGAACTTACAGGCCCTGGACGGGAGGCGCGGATTACCCCGCCAGGCGGCGGCGCTTTGCGGGCAGAGCTGCATCGCAATAGCGCGCTCGACTGGGGGGATCTCCACATACCCCTTAGCCGCCCCGCCATCGAGGGCAGTGAGGACGGAAGAAGCACTAGCTCTGTTTCGGGCAGAAAAAGGTGCCCTTCAAGATCTAGTAACTCCTTCATGCACTTCCGGAAAGAAAGGAACCGGAGGTGGCTGCTGGTGATCGGCCTGCGACACCCCCAGGAACCAATCATCCAACCTCTAGCTTTCAGGAGATGGAGGTGGTTTCCATTGCAACCCGACACTCTCGGCGGCCCGGGAAAGCATAGCAGTCAGCTCTGGATCTCACTCGGGCAACGTTACTCTTCCTGACGGAGGCAGCGCAGCCGAGTCCTCATCTCCAGAGCCTAGCTCGTCCTCCTAAGCAGTGATCGACATCCTGTCATCTGCCAGAGGCCCGAATGAGACGCTAGACCCCGCCCTGTCCGGAGTCTCAGCCACCTCATCACGGAACACCAGAGGGTGCGATGTGCTGGAGGAGTGAGGGGCCCGCGGAGACGCATTCGATGGGGAAGCCCTCACTGTGATCCTCAGATCACCCTGGCCATACACCGAAGTAGTCCTCCGCTGTTGGGAGGAACTAGAACGGGGCATGGGGAGAGGGACTCCCCCTCGTTTAATGAGGAGGAGCCTTGATTGCAACATTGCGATGGTCATGTCCCCGCACTCTCTGTGATCCTCAGATTGCCGTGGCCTTACGCCGAAGTAGTCCTCCGCTGTTGGGAGGAACTAGAACTCCCCCTCGTTTAATGAAGAGGAGCCTCGATCGCAGCATCGCGATGGTCATGTCCCCGCAATGAGAACATGAGTCATCCACGAGCGCTGCCTCAGCGTGCTCAATGCCCAGGCACGAGATGCAGCGTTCGTGACCATCAGATGGAGCCAGGAAGCGACCACACCCAGAAACACATGAGTGGAAGGCCATCTTTAAAAAGACGCCGCTTCACTCATGGAGCTCTTTTAGATTCGCTCTTTTAGATTGCTCTTTTAGAAAAAAGTGTTGAAGCACCCAGGAGAGGTCGCAGCGTGACCACAGTTTGAGGAGCTGCAGCACGCCATCCAACACCAACAGCAGCACTGGACCAGCAACCCCCGCTGACGCGCATATAAATGATATGTATATGAATTATATAACTAAAATTAAATAACTGTAATTACAGATTTAGGTTAAATAAAGATGTCAGTCTTTATTTTTCTTCTTTTTAGGAAACAAATCAAAGAAAAAATAAACAAATTCTACTGTTCCTAATATTCTGTATGCTGCTCAAAAACAAAATATATTGTGTTCAGCGGAAAAAAAATTGTGTTTTTTTTTTTTACCCAGTCATTTAAAAAGAACACATTTTAGAGCTGTAATGACAATACCGTGAAACCGTGATATTTTTGCTTAAGGTTATCATACCGTCAAAATCTCATACCGGCCCATGCCTAAATGTACACTAACATTTAAAAGTTTGGGGTCAGTAAGATTTTTTTTTTTTTTTTTTTATAAAGGACTTCTATTCAGCAATAGTTCAGTTTTTTTACTTTCATTTTCAAAGATTCCTGGAAAAAAAAGTATCACGGTTTTTACAATATTAAGCAGCACAACTGTTTTCAACATTGATATTAAAAAAAAATTCTTAAGCATCAAATCAACATATTAGAATGATTTCTGAAGGATCATGTGACACTGAAGACTGGAGTAATGATACTGAAAATTCAGCTTTGCATCACAGGAGTAAATTACATTTTAAAATATATTCAAAAAGAAAATAGTTATTTTAAATTGCAATAATATTTCACAATATTAGAGATTTTACTGTATTTTTAAATCAATCAAATGCATAAGTGACTTCTTCCAAAAACATAAAAAAACTTGATGTCTCTAGTGCATGACAGCTAATTGCATAAACTAATGTTTAGTTAATATCACAATTAATATCCATGATATGAAAATAATTCTTCTGATGTCAAAAAAGTCCT